AAACGATCAATGGATCGCCTTTCCTGATTTTCAAACTTCAATAACAAAAATAGAATAGTTGTATGCGTCACACTTGCGCATAGTAGTAATAATATACCATTCGAAGGAGCTCGTTGAGTACTATGCGTCACACTCGTTTTTAAATTTGTCAGGCGTCACATCGCGAATGTTTTCCCGATAAGGCATGATAATACTAATTCATGTTTCTCGGATTAGTATAAATATTAAAACGACACCAAACATACCATTGGAAAGAGCTCGTCCAGTTGTGTGTGTCACACTAGTTTTTGTGTCTGTCACACGGAAAATACGGATTTTTGAAATATACTCTCATAGAAAAAACTCAGTTTTGGACTCGTACCTTTATTCTAGAAGATTTTCAGATTTCAGGAGTAGGTGCGTTGGAGAGGGCTCGGCGAGTTGTTCATGTCACACTCGTTCATCATTCTGTCACACGTCTAACTGAGAATACTCTGGAGAAATATTAGAATCGCCCTCTGAAGCAGAGAGAGGTGCTACTTAACTCAATCGTGTGCTTTTGTTGGGTATATTTCCCTGATAACCAAGCAATTGTGTTCTCGTCTGTGAATTCTTTTCCCACAGACAGAACCTTTTTGTTCTGCTTGTGGAACAGAGATTTCTAGGATAGTTCAGTTCAATATAGTTTCCTTAAGCCCATGCACTTCAAGCGCTTCGACACTCCACGGAGTGGCGGAATACGCTTTTTCCGCTTGATATAGATCCGTCGGAAGTGGAAATCGAAAAAAATTGTCAAAAAACGTCCTCTGAAGGAAGCAGGGACCTTAAGAGACCCTTAAGGACCTTAAGAATACCTACAGAAAAATAGAAATTCTCACTCACCATCAATGTGGTCCACTCCGGTCCATTACCATTCCAAAAACGCTTTTCCCCCGTGGCTCTGACTCATGCGATGGAACTTGTGGATATATCGACGGTGTTGAAATATACGGGTACGTATGAGCGTACGCTAAAATAGACGCATTGTGATTGTGTTGACGGTAACGCTGTGCGTATTGCGCGCCCCCGTATTGCCAGTCTGATGAGTGGCCAGTAGCGTTTATATAAATAAATCAGCACCACATCGATGAGTAATGCCAAAAATCCTGGCAAAAAACCTCAGGTTTTTCAGCTTTTTTCAAAACAAACACTGTTTTTAATTAGCTAAAAGCGAACTCTGTCGAGTTTGCTTGTTTAAAAGGTTAAATGACAACAGCGAATATTTTTAATTGCAATATTTCCGAAAGCCCTCTGCTGAAAAGCCCAGTTTTCCAGAACTCGATTATGAAAGTAAAAACTAGAGCGGATTGCTATGGCGACTGGAATCAGCATGTCTGAAAACCTCCAGACTCTGAGATTCAGCCTGAAATCTTCATTTCAGCAGACTGTATCCCAATTTTTCTTGTACTGGAAAGACGCTCATTGAAGCAGCTACTCTTGTATAGATAAATTATGTGCACAAACACATTGTTTCTCAAAATACACACTCGATAGTATATAAGTCTGTTAAAAATGTAGAATGGAGAAAATTGTCAAAAATGGTACGGAATGGGACGGAATGGCCGATTGCAGTCCATTCCGCTTCCCCCTCTTGGTTAGAGTACCCCCAATATCTGATTCTAACGTAGTTGGACCTTGAGCACATACACATTATACACAAACAATCATTACTAAACAGATCAATTTTGCATTTACCATTTAATTATTATGAAAACTCGCTTATTATATTTTTTTTCTTTCTCCTTCATTAATTTGAGTCAGTGCTAGTCTATACATTATTTTCGTTGAGCGTGAACGCTCAGTCTGAGGGACCGAGAAGTATTACATCAGCATAGAATACTGATATAGGGTGAGGTCGATATGCACATATCTCTTCTATTATCTCTGTTAAACATTCAATTTCCTCCCCTTCTTGTTTTCTCTCTTTTCCTCTATATGTTTTTTGTTTTAAATGTTTTAGAGTAAGTTTTGTTTGTTTGTTTTCTATCACTTTGCACGAACAAAGATAAAGATTAAAAAAAGAAGTTAAGTGATCTAACACGGATATTTCAGAAATCCCTATCTCAAGACCCTGAGGTGTGAGGTGTAGCAGAACTTTTTTCCTTAAGAAGACATTTGAAAGTACTCGGGTAAACTTCTTTCGCTTAGACTGAAAACTGGAAACAGTATATTAGGTCTCGCGGTCATAGGAAGGCAGGTAGATTCTGGATAAAAAAATGCATGAAGGCTAATGAAAATAGCGAACCAAATTCTGAAAATAAACTTTACATGAGAGTGGACATGTTGATAAAACGACTTCTTCACCCATTTCAACGGCTGTTTAGTACAGTCTGATGGACAAATGAGAATCATAGATCATACAAGTGCAGTTCCGTAACTGAGCCCCAAGTTTCATGTGTTTCCAATACCAACCATTTTTCATTGATTAAACCCAAAGACTGAACAGTTTTAGACGCGATCTGAATTTCTTTGTGTTTTCCGTCAGAATCAATAATAAACAGGCTATTTCGGTATTGGGATACTCCCAAAAACTGTTGGTGAGGAAGGGAAAGAAGGGCACAACAGTCAATGTTGGTTCCAAGTTCCGTCATTTGTAGCACAGATATGATATTTGAATTACGAAGTTCAAACCAATATTTCCATTCAGGATGTTTGCCTTTACCTAGGATTAAACCTACATGGGAGCCAGTGCTGTTAAACCGAATTTTAAAAATATTTTGATTTTGTTTGCAGGAGTGTGGTGGTTTGTATGTTTGAATTAGCTTCCAAGTGGTTATATTGTACACTTCAATCAATGATCCTTTGCCGGTAGTTGTTATAATAAACTGATCATTGTAACATGCGCAGCTAGATATTTCAGTGCTGAATTCTTTAACTTTCGTTGGTTCCTGTAGCATGCCAGTCGAGTTTAATGCACAAAGCATTTTACGGTCAGTTGATAATAGAAGAAATTGGTTTAACCGCAATGACCAACAGACGTCTAGTACCATGAATGGTGCCTCTACAGTAAATTTTTCGCTTACTTGTCTGTCAAAAACACGAAGCCGTCTGGAGTCACAATAAAGTAAATATTGATCATTGCCAACCATTGCACGCCCCGCCTCACTGTGTACTTTCAGACAGATGCGTGGTTTCTCTTTTAAACTTTCAAAATTCAATGCCGAAGTTTTTGTCCGAATACTGGATTCATCAAGATTCAGTGGAATGGCTGAGGCTATTTTAGAAGCGGTATATGGAGGTTGTATACTCTCGTCATTCAAGCACTGTGTTACATGTTTCATATAATTATTTTCGTCATTATTCGAGAAATTCTTACTGCATTGCGGACATTGAAGCATGTAGTTGTTCTGTTGTGCTACAGCAACGGCTTTGGGAGACGATGTTGTATGGTGTGTGACGTCAGGATGTACAAAAGCAGCTGCTACATCGAATGGTGGTTGAATCAAAGAGACAGGTGGTTGTATTTGTCTGACATGTATCGTATGAAGACCGTATCCTTGATCCAGTTTACTGACAACTTCAAAATGGCTGCAAGGCAGCAATAAAACTTCATGCTCCGATTCGTAATGTGAATGGTTTTGAATCACTTTTCCGTTTAAACATTCAATCATAAAGAGAGTACGTCTGCCCGTTTTACCAAGAAATTGTTCTTTCTCCAATACACCTATTGCTGTTGTACAGGATGATAGACCGAACAGACAAATGTCTCGTGTTCTTCGTATTGATTACTGATATCCGCTTTAACCCCACGCCAAACAACACATTTAACCGATTCTAATTTCCACAAAGCCGTTAGGAATAGCTTTAAGTAGGAGAAAAATGGAATGAGTCGTTTTCGATCCTTGTCACGAAGTGCTGCATTTAATTCGGAATAAATAGATTCCATACTATAAAGATAAATGGCAGCCGACTCATTGATGGATAGGCCATCTTTCGGCTTGTTACAGTTGTTTTTTGCCACCCAGACGTCTGTCTGCATATTATCAAACAGATGTTCTATCGGTTTCACTGCCTCTTCTAATGAGACGAGTGGTTGTTTTTCATAATTTTTGATCGGAGATAGTAGTTTTAATGGTTCATGAACAATGTCGAGAAAACGTTCAGTTGGTAATTCTGCAGTACCAGGAACTTTTTTTGCCATTGTCGTTTTAGCTGTGATATAAAAAGCACCGCGAAGAAAAAAACAGCATCCTGAAAAATGTGCTCTTATGCGTGTGTTATGAGAACATAAGTTAAAATGAAAAGATTTTTTATTTTCTTCTTTGAATCAACAGCAACGAAGAAAAATTTGTTTTAAGTTGTAATAGAATGAGATGTGAATATGTTTAACTATTATCAGTAGTAATTTCTGCTTTTACTTCTGTTAGTGATTCAGAGAAGAGAAAGAGAAAAAAGATACGTGTATAATGCTGAAACAAAAATGAAAATTGGAGCAAATGACTTGAAAATTTCATCTCGTAACTTCAGTTGCGGTAAATACAAGCATAACACGTATTTCCTTCTTTTGCTTCTTGCGCCAGGCCCTTCAAAGAAAATAATCTCTGTTATTCCTTCGTGTGCGGAACGAAGAGGAAAGATGCTGATTGCTAATTGTTTGTTTGTCTTAAGTTATTTGTTGATTTATTTTTCGATGTTCATTTGTTTGTTGATTTTATTTATTTATTTCACGCAAGTCTATTACAAGATATAACATAGCATGAGCATAAACATAACTGAGTTACCCCCGTCCATTGGTAGTTGAAGACTTATATATCTATGTTCACCCACCATTTTGTAGCTGCTGCTAGATTATCTGATTTTCAACGATTTCTGAAATAGTCAAATAAACGAAAAGAATGTGATTAGTAATGGGCGGGTATGAGTAGGTGACTGGTAGTTACCTTGCTGATTGTACATGATTGTAGCCCGCAAATTTCCGATTAAAATGAGACATCTCCAAGCTTTACACGACCTTTCTTTGCAAAGCTATAGAATTTACAAGAAAAGCCCTAAATTAATTTCTGCTTATTTCTGGTTCTGCTTAAAATTGGTTTTCTAGAAAACCAGGTCTTCGAAGGGCTAAGAGTAACCCGTATGGTCATATTCGTAATCAGCATGGTCGATAACCTATAACCCACTAGATTCCCAGCAAAAAGTGTTTAATCACCTCTAAAGGCTCCCTCGTTAGTTGTCAATTTTCCTTGAAAACATTTTTCTGAAAATTGACGACTCCAGGAAAATCGATCAAAAAATTCTGGAAAGTGTCTCATTGTTAAGAAAACACTTTCTTCTATCACACTATATCTAAGAAAAAACTTTGAATGTACAGAAAAGGAGAGAGCAGTTTATTAAATTAAAATATTAAGTCTTTTTAAGCTTTGAAGGAAAAACTTCAAAAATACATAACTTTTCGAACGAAGGTCGTGAAATGTTGGGAGTGATCTCGTTTTGTAGTCCACATTTCCCTCTACATTACGCTATGCCCAGCTGAAACTCCAAAATTTTTCGAAAAAAAGGGGTGGGATGCCCTAAATAAACTATGAATTCGTTTTCTGGTCTGTTTTCAATAATCGGGTCCCAAGAGACCCGATTATTGGCGTTGATATATCGGCATATTCATGCTTCCAAACGAAGAAGAAATGCTTGTACCTCCAGGTTGATCATTTAAAATCGTTACTATTGAGTATCGTATAATTTAAAAAAATATACGTGGTGCGTTTTGTCAACAAGGTGTGAATATGTGTCGAGAAGATCTCAATTATACGTGTTTACAATTCAGTCAATGCAGATGTAAGGTAATACGCTTGAAGCCGTTCTTCTTTAGTGAAACATATCTTGATAGTGAACAGAATACTGTTTTGCGAAAACTTCCCAGGATTTGTCCATTTTCCAAAGGAAAAGGAAGTTTGGAGTTTAATTTCATAGACTTGGATTTTTTGTGAAAACTTACTAATATTTTTCAGTAGCTGTTACCGTCACAAATAGCTTTGATAGCTTAATAGCTTCTTAATATTTGATGTTCTCTGGGTACTACTATACATCCAATAATGTATTTGATTGAGGGAGATATTTCACTAGTTATATTGTCATAGGGTTTCTTTTCTGTTAACCTCTTATTTCGGAATATTTATGCATGTATTGTTTGAGACATATACTCTTATTATCGATTTATCTCTGTGTTTCCGTGGAGAGTTAGAATAGGTTTTAACTTTCGTTTTATAAAGAGTCTTCCTTATAGTAAAGTTTTTAATTTTTTAATTTCTTTTAATTTTTTAAGAAGCAGTTTTGACTTACAGTTTGATCTTTAAACCATTTGACTCTCGATATCAGTTTCATTTATTAATACTGTTCCTGTAATGACATTGGTATAAATAAAGAAATGAACAATGATTGGATATATTTATGTTGTACTGCTCTCATGTTGTTGTTGTTGTCGATTGAGAATAAAAATATTGAGATCTTCTACTGTTTCTTGTGGTTTTTCTATCTTCTTACGTTCATCTTCATCTCTACGTTTATAATGTATTGTAACAAATAAAATCATGATAGTAGACAGAAAAAAATGCCATTACAGGAATGCTCAAAAATTCTACAAAAACCAGAAAATGCTTGACGGTTTTGTAATTAATTTTCCATAAATTAGAAATTAATTTCTCCTAACTGCACCTTTAAATAATAAAAAATTAAACTGACAGATCCGTTCGGAATGTTTCGAAGTTTTCATCTGAAATACTTTCAAAATTGGAAAAAACATTTAAAAAGTGGCGAGAACGAGAGGGTGCTACAATATTTGTGTTGTTTACATTTTGAAAGCATAATGCAGCTTCTAATGCACTTTCAAAAGTTTTCGGATTTCTAAGTCACAAAATGTACTGTTTCCCCACGTGTCACAAGTGTAGTTGTTGAAGGAACTTTGGTATTCTTGATTCTGTTCAATTGGGTTGCGAGGTTCGAGAAAACCTTGAGAAGTCGATGTGGGCCTACGGGAGCAGTCAAAAATAAGCCATAGTCTACGCGCAGATATAGATCAATATCATTCTCTTTCCTTTTTCTTTCTCTCATTTAGCTAAATGAAAGAAATCGAATACCTTTCTATGTACAGAATAGAACAAATGTGTTCATTTTTCATTATCAGTTACACAACCTAACACAATTTAACGCTGAACTGTATTCTTCTTGTTTATAAATATAAGTTACACACATATATGTATTTATATATCCGTTTTCAAATCAAATAATCTATTTTACCACATTGTGAAGAGTTTTCTCTTTTCAACGGAAGCAAAGAAATACATTAGAAATTTTCCCGATTTTCTCACAAGTTAGCTGATTAAAAAGGCACCTTTTCTCCAATTTTTAACAAATGTAAAGTAATCGACTCGGACTTTAAAATAGACTTGACTATTTTTCAGAAAAGGATACAGCCTACTTTTTGAGTTATCTGATTCACAATATGATTGCTTGACAAAACAAGGCTTTCGTTCTTCCTGTTTCTTTCGCCTTATCATATTCTATTTTTTTAACACCCTAGTTCAACTTAGAATGTCAAATATGCCGGTTTATTTTTCTTTTATCTCAATTCCATCGATTTTATTATCTTATTTATGATAGTTGTAAAAGATATAAGAACGTTTCTGTTTTAATGAACGAAATGAAAAAGAATCAATTTTCTATTTTAGCGTGAATTTAGTTTTCTATCTTTTTCTGTCTCACTATGAATTTAATGCATAATCCATCAACTTGATCAATTAATATCGCATTAAGTCAAGCGTACTTACTTGCCTTTTCTACTCTAACTTCGAGTGCACAAATTACACATTATGAAGGTCGCCTGAATTTGTAGAGATATCGGACCGTCAATACACACCAAAAACTAGTTTTTCTTTTTGTATAAAAAATGAAGTGGATGCCAATAGTGGTCTCTGTTATTTGTTCAACGATAATTAACTG